ATGGCTAATATGTGCTGCTGTCCAGACCATGTAAATCATCAGTCACAGAAAAGAAAAAAACATCCTGTTGTTTGCAGTGGGCCACAGGGTCTCATTTGACCATGAACTTAATGACGGAAAAGAGAAGAAAGTCGACTTCCCTCTCAATACTCCTGTAACAAAACATATTCAAAAATGATTGTCATTTCAGTACGCCACTCAGCCTGTGACTGATTCTGAAATGAGCACATGCCCCTAAAACCCTGTTACCATTAACAGCCTTTCCTTTTTGACAGTAATGGCTCTGTCGCTTCATTCCAAACTTTTGCCTGACCTAGACATTTCAACCTCCTAAGACCCGCACTCCTCTACGGCATGCATTTTTCATTTCTCTTTGATATTTGGTCACATTGGGGCCTTATTTTTGTTTTTAAGAAAAATAAGAGCCACATATGAGGATATTCGTTAAAAATTTTGATAGAACAGTAGCAGTATAATGTCCTTGTAAGTGGATATCAGGCCCTTGTCGAGCAAAATTGAGTATTTTGGTCTAAATAACCCAAAATGTGATGTCCACATATGTGGACGCCAGGTCCTAGAAGGTTAAGTGATAAGCCTGAGAGAGTTCGAAAAAACAGATCCACTTACACATTCAAGTGGGAATTAAAAACATTTGCTGTACATCATGCTGGTTTCCTCCCGAAGAGGCGGCCAATTTCACCTTCATTCATATCCAGCTGTGCATGTCATCCAAAAAACACAACATAACACAACACACGGAAACCAAACCACAAAATGAGAGAACGCTGTCAACCTTTGTGATAAGTTAAAGTTAGAGTGAGGACAACCAAAGTGTTTTTTAGTCTTTGTAGTGTCACTAAATGTGCTTTACATAAGATTAATGGCATCATTTCTTCTCCCATGGAGGTTATGTACGTGAAAGTGTTTGTGCGTGTGTGCATGCATGCATGTCATTCTTTCTGTAAACACTAAAATTGTTTTTATAATCCTTATAAAAATGTCTAAGGCTGTAGAGTGGGGTCATGTTTACTATCCATTAAAGTTTGGCTAACATCCTCCGAGGTCTCAAAGGTTGAGTTGATAATTAATTGGTCAAAAATTGGTAAATAGCTTCAAGTGTAGAGTGTATTGTCAACATAGAGAAAGTACCGTACAAAGACCTATTTAAAACTATGTTTGTTACTGCCATTGTTTGTATGATAACAGCATATAAGAGATTCTAAATATCACATTACTTTGGACCTCTCACCTCTCTTTCATGGTCAAATGTTCATAAAATGTCTTTTATGTCGTAAACTGCTTAAAATTCTACTGCCATTGTTTGTAGTGGAAACATTTAGGAAGTGATACTGGCATATGGGAATTCTAAATATTACTTTATAGTTTTCATCCAAATATCATGTAACATTTGACCTCTGACCTCACTTTCAAAGAACAAGAAAACGATAGGAACAAAATACAATACTGTTTCCTTGAAAGTAATACGCCCAGAGAGTGAGCTGCCTTGGCTGAGGTTTGGCACTGTCTGAGCGCTTCTTCTGTTATTATTATTATCATTATCGGTAGCTGGATAACTGTTTTATAGTGTGACATTCATTAAGTGAGGCAGAGACCCTGTACTGACAACAAGTGTTTTAAGCTGCTAAATTAGTCATGGCCAGTTAAGCTTTCATTGTGTCAGTTATGATATATGAAGTGCAGAAAGCCTTGTGAGTGCTACTGAACCCTTTTTCTAATTATTTTTAGAATTCCACTAAATCTGAACTACACATAAGAAAAAATGCATTTTCTCACCTCAGGAAAAAGCTTTCAACTTCATATAGTACTTTTTTTTTTTTTAAATCATAACAATTATTACAACAGACTAGCTTATGAGTTCATTTGCTAAACTGAAGGGAATAACCAACACATCCTGACGTCTATGCAATCAGCATCCACGCTGATCCTTTTGTTTAGCTGTGGAAAAAACTGAAATCTATAAAAATAACATGTGGTGATGGTATAATGTCCCTCATGCACAGAAGTCGGCAGGATGCGTTCTATATCCACCGCTGCTACTCATGTGTTCACAGACTGCATCATTCTGGCAAACATATGTTCGAAAGGCATGGGCATATGTGGACGATTCAGTGTTTTACTGCTATCAAACTATTTCATCAAGAGATTTGTCAAAGTCATACTAATCTGTTACATCTAATAACGAACACTAAAAAGTTATGAATACATTGTTCTTTGTGTCTCTTTTATATTCTCTTTTAAAATCTGTGTGTGTTAATGAGTGGTACCGCTGTGCTGTCTGAGGTATTCATACTTAGTTACATTCTCCTGGCTTATGGAACATTTCCATATTGCTCCGGTAGCAGCAGCCAGAAGTTGCTTGTTGTCTGCTTTATGCAGCAGTGAGACCAGTGGCTGCAGACCTTTATACTTGCGCACCAGGTCACGGGTTTGCTTATCCTCTGCACACTGCAGAGCAAAAAGAAAGAAGTGAGAGCTATGTTAACACTGTATAGAACTCTTTTAGTCCAAATCCTTTATTCTCCAATGGATCCAAGACACAGACAAGAAACACGGTACCTTAAAGATAGCACTGGCACAGTGCATTTGTAGCTCATCGTTGTCACTGCTTAGGTTTCTGACCAAATCTTTGATCATGCCTAAAGTCTGAATGTCATTCCTGTAGCTCTCCTGTAGTGACACAAGAATAAACAGATCACATAACCATGAATGAACCATGAGGTGCTGTAGGGTTAGGCTCAGTGTGTCTCAGGCAGCAGCCAAGAGTGAAGGCCATGGAGGACCAATTGGTGGCTATTGAGGCTGGCGACTGAGTCCCAGCCTCCCAGTCTCCTCTCTAGTGGGGAAGGAGCCTGAACTAGTGTGTGAGGTTGAGAGATACTGGCTAGATATAGCCTCACCTCAACACATGGCTTGAGCTAAGGAACCAGTCTCCTAGAGAAGGACTGGACTCTGTTCTAGTCTAGAGTTGCCTTCAATGGGAGGTGGTGGGCTGCGGTGGGCATCCTTGAATTAGAGTTTTAATCAGTGGACAAGAGCGTTTGATCCCTGCACCTGCAAGCCAGGGAATAGGTCCTGGATGTTGTTTGCGCTTGGAGTACCCAGTGTACCCATAGTATCCACCCTTCTTGGAGTTGCTGGGTGGTGTGCTCGACAGTGCTCTGTCTGGAGCCTCTGTTTTCCTACTAGGAGACTTCCACACTCATATAGGCAACAATAGTAAAACCAAATGGTGTTCTGTTATTGGACCTGCACTATATTGCCAAATGTATTCACTCATCTATCCAAATCACTGAATGTAGGTGTTCCAATCACTTCTGTGGTCACAGGTATATAAAATCAAGCACTTAGGAATGCACACTGTTTCTATAAACATTAGAAAGAAAGAATGGGTTGCTCTCAGGAGCTCAGTGAATTCCAGCGTTGCACTGTGATAGGATGCCACCTGTGCAACAAGTCCAGCCATGAATACTTCCTAGCTACTAGACAGCCGACAGTCAACTATTAGTGGTATTAGCTCAAGAACAGTGCATAGAGAGCTTCATGGATTTGTTTTCCATGGCCGAGGAGCTCCAATTAAGCCTTACATCTATAAGTGCAATGCAAAGTGTTGGATGCCATGTTGTAAAGCATGCCTGGAGTGAAAAATCATGCTTCTCTGGCTGGAAGAGTCTGGTTTGGTGGTTGGAGTGATACTTGACTAACTGCACTGTGCCAAGTGTAAAGTTTGGTGGATGGGGGATTATGGTGTGTGGTTGTTTTTCAGGACTTGGGCTTTGCCCCTTAGTTCCAGTAGAAGGAATTAAAAATTTTCAGCATACCAAAGCATTTCTGACAAGTTCATGCTTCCAACTTTGTGGGGAGAGTTAAGGAAAGAATGACAATAAGTCAGAATTGTTTTGTGCTCATCCAGTGCTCTCCTATGTCACACATTTTGTTCATAACCTTTAAGCACAGAATTTGTATGAACAACCAAGCATCGGAAAGTTACGGTTCGTGGCACCCAGTATCTCATGTGGTCTTGTTGGCTGCAGGCGGTGGTCTCCAGCTCACACTGGAGCAATTCACAGTCGAGCATGAACCAGTGAATATGAGAATTAACTCCTACACGTCTAAGGCCATGGCCATCAGCAGAAATAGGGTAAATATTTTGACCCCTCCAGATAAGGGGCTCGTTGCTGTCCCAAGTGGAGGGATTCTTGTTCCCTTGATTGAGGGAAGACAGGGGCAGAAGATTGACAAATAGATTGCGGCTGCTGTACTCGTCCGTCGTGGTCAAGAGAAAGCTAAATGTGAAAGCAAAGCTGTCGATTTACCGGTCTATTTACGTCCCTACCCTCACCTATGGTCACAAGCTTTGAAACTAGTAGAAAACCAGCAGAAACTAAAAACTAAACATTTTTAAACAACAACAAAGAAAATGTAAATAAGAAAGTTAACTCTGAAACTAAATTTTAATTTTTTTTTTAAGTTAAAATGAAATAAAAATAAAAACTAATTAGAAAATGCAAAACTATTATCAGTTCTATAAATGTATTTACAATAAAAAAGAAAGGGAAATTACTGGCATTGTCATTTAATAAAAATGATTTGCAGTATTTGTTTTAACACTTTGAATAGATGTTTTAATTTGACGACTTGTTGTCAATCCTAGGCCCCTCTCACCTCTGAAGCACATTCCTGTAGGGTGCCAACCACTGGAATAAGCATTTTCTGAAGTGGAGACTTGAGCAGGCGTCCCAGCAGAGGGATACCCCCAGCCTTCCGAATGGCCTTCTTGTTCTTGGTGCTCCTGCTGCAGCTCCATAATGCTAAAGCCCCACAACAGGCCACCTCTATATCCTCCTCCTGGCTGGGAGTAAGGCTGGCGAAATTAGGAAGGCAGTCCAGCAGCTTTACCTGATTGGAGATATAGACACCCCAAAACTTACATGTATATAAACACACAGATGAAGCTGTGTGCAGACAAGCAAACACACTCTGTATTTAATCTGATATTCTCTACATATAAGATCTGTGAGCCTAACACAAATTCAAGAACTAAACTCAAAAAATTTATTTGCTAGATTTGGGTAATAATTGATGGTTCCAGATGGAAATAGCTCATTTTTGGTCATGATGGGTGGGATTAAAGTTCTGTTACTAGAACATTTCATTCAGGGAGAATTAAAACAACAGAGAAGTTAGGAGTGGAAAACTGTCAGGATAGATGTTGATGCTGAAAAGCCCAGTGTGACCATTTAAAGCCATCATTCTGTGTTCATTTGATTTGGAGCTGAACAAAATAAACAAGACATGGTGGCTAAATTAGGAAGGCAGTCCAGTCAAAGATCCCTCCATCAATAATCACAAATGCAGGTCAGAGGATGTAGGAGACATTCTATCTGGTACCCAGCACCCACTTTCTAATTTAAAAAAAAAACTGATGACCACTATCAGGCATCTATTGTGTGAAAAGGGAACATAATTCTTTACTTCAAGGAAGCCAAAACAACAAAAAAAAAACCTTTGAACTATGTTAATATATGGATTTCATCAGAATAAAACAGAATTTTTCTCAAAGTTTTCAGGTTTTCTGAGGTTATTACAAAGAAATACTACATCATAAATAAGCTGACCTGTGTTTTCAAGGAAAATCTGCCACTGTTGGACATTTTTCGTTATTACCAGTACAGAAAGATCAGGCTCAAATCTGCAGTGTTTTTTCCTGCTGCATTCCTCACCATGGGATTGTAGAGCTTGAGCCATGTCACACTCTGAACTTGCATTTTACTCTGCTTACACTCACCAGTTTATTGATACCACCATATAACCTGACATTTCTTCTTGCTCTGCGGAACTTGGCCACGTTAGCGATGGTCTCGGCAGCTAAGGCCTTCAGTTCCTTGACTGGTGAGTCCAGGATCTTCACTATGCTCTGCACGCCTTTCATGTCAACAATAACCCGACGGATTTGCGAGTTGTGGCTGATGGTTCTCAGTATTTTTAGAGATCCGATCTAATCACAAGAACACACATTAATATTAAATATAACCAGTTAAAAATTATGTTTGTTTTATGATAAAGAAACTTATGCCTACAAGAGGTCTCTAGTAGCCAAAAAAGTAGCAAAACTTTCCACTAAAAGTAGATAAAATGTTGCAGTACAACCCAGTTGAAAAGCACCAACCCACACATCTCATTAGGAATGCTATAGAATAATTGCTACCCCATTTTTTAAACAGCATGCTTTCTACCTTGCACTCATGTTTCTGAAACTAAAACACAGGCTGGCACACATGGCCAGCTCTGTTCATGCCAGCAGGCCATGCAGGTCCAACTTTGTCATGGCAACTCACTTTGCATTTGTGTTCATCTGTATCCAGCAAGTTAAGGAGGACTTTAAGGCCACCTGTGTCCTGGATAGCCATTTGGCATGACTCCTGCATCAAATTAAAGTCCATCATGGCACAAAGAGTGTCAACAGTGACTATCTGGTCACCATCCTGAAACAATAATTTCAAACACAAATGAATTAAAAAGTAGGAGAGGAGGAAATAACATTAAGAATTCTCCATTCTCTTATACTGCTCTTCCCTCTTACTCTGTTGTTTTTTTTCATAATGCTACACATGCTGGAGCTGTTTCATTGATGCCACAGCCTTGTACTTTAAGTGTTTAGCGTTGTGCTGGTTAACACTGATAGAAAAAAAAATGATTTGCTGAATTCCTGGTGTTCAGTTTGGCTCATGGTAGGTTTCAGCATCTAATGGTAATGATATTATAAAATGACTACTGGGCAAACTATAAATAACTGTGCTGTGTGGCGTCCAGACACACACACACACACAAAGAGGTTTTTGTGAAACCTGAGTTTGCTTCTGTTGTGCAGAGTGAACTTATCATACCTTGAGATACTTAACCAGTTTCTGGATTTGCCAGTATTCAGAGGGCAGGTCTGTGTTAGTCTCTGGATGGCGATATGGCTGCTCCTCTTCCTCTTCACTCTCAGTGGAGCTCTCACCGAAAAGTTCCCCTGGCAGGGCTCCTGCTGATGTCTTCCTAAAATACACAAGAGCAACTTCTGCCTTTTTAATTAGACATACAATCAAAACCCTATATGTCTAACGTCTTGGTTGAATTTACCATTTTACCAAATTACCAATTGCAGATCTAGAGGAAACTCTTAAAAGGAAAACTTACAGTTTCTGGGAAGACACGTGTCCAGGTGAAGAAGATGCAGATAATTCTGCTTTCGTCTTGCTCTTGGCTCTTTGTCTTAGATTTTTGTGCTCATCTTCAGAACTCTTAAGGGGTTTATTTTCCTCTGTTTTACTATAATGAGGTGAAATAAGAGTCATTATAGCTGCTTCATGGCTACAATCAGATCCCTTGCACTTTTAACCTCTGCTTAGTTTAATTTAGCCCAGCTGCAGTGCAAGAAGGAACCCTTGTAGGTTTTGACAAAAGAGATCTTACCGTTTTTGGGAGGACATGTGTCCAGGTGAAGAAGATGCAGAGAATTCTGCTTTTATTTTGCTCTTGGCTCCTTGTCTAAGACTTTTTTCCTCCTCTTCAGAACTCTTATGGCCTTTATTTTCCTCTGTTTTACTGTAATGATGTGAAATAAGACTCATGATACCTACTTCTATTTTGAGATGGTCATTTTTCTGGCATAATCATTATTTAACAATTCAGGACAGGGTTCAGCATTTTTTAAGCAATTAAGATTAAAAAGACCAGTTTCTCCTCAGATGGGTACAAATATCCTGAGGTAAAGCTGCAACAGCTCAGCCCTTGCTAGATCTATTTATCAATCAAAGACCAAATTTGATAGATCTTTTGGGGATTCTTTTCTCATACTTATTCCTAAGTTTTGTGTTTAGCAGAGAGCAAAGAGGGTTTCCCTTGAATTTCTAAACCATATAACGATGTTTTTATAACATCTTAGCAGATACACTAAACACATGCATTAAAGACTTGGCATCATGGTCATCAAAGTTCATCTGCTCTTCAAGAAGAATACCTGCAATGCAATGAATATTCAGAAGAATTCTTAAGTGAGGAATCATCACATACCCACATGTAGACAAGATACCACTTGGTCTTGGTTCATATATGTTCCTACGTGTTGTGTGCAGCTCAAGCTGTAGTTGCTCATTCACAGTCTTTTCCTTTTTTGTTGATAGTTCTTGAACTGCAGAAGCCTGCTGGTAAGGGGGAAAGCGAGAAGTTGAAGAATGAGTGTAAATACCTCTTCCAATTTGCAACAAAACAAGCGAAATTTGACTGTAAAGTGCTTTGTAGTCTGACTGTACATTTCTCAAATTCTTGCTTATATAAAAAAGCTATTCTGATTAAGCTGATTAGCATTTCTTTGACTTCTTGTCAATCAGCGTGCTGTATTTTCCATCCATTTTTGCAACTCTATGTCTGACAAAGTCTTGGTCATGCCACTCAAGGAAGACTCATATAAAAACCACGAAAGAGTAAAAAGTTATAATTAAAAACACAAAATTGACATAAGAGCCCGTACTCAACAATATATGGACTTATTTATTTGGGCTGTGTTTGTGCATTAGCTAGAGCCAAGCATGCCCAATTGCTTTTTTCATTGGCTTGTGTTTTATAAAACACAAAGTGCTATTGGAAACGTATGTCAATATACAAACCCACAGTTTGACTTTACTAGGCTAACCAACTTTCTCCAGTTCTACTATATGAGAAATGGACAAATTCGTACTTGTCTGCCTGGAACTCAAAAGTACTACAGGAAATTAGCCCTGTTGTTCTCAGCCAACTTTGGTGGTTTCTCCCATTGATACTTGGGGACGTCTAGTCCATATGCGGCACAGATGTTTCCTATACACAATGTCTCTGTGCTGTCCTTTTTTTGCTTTTAGCCTTTATTTGGACAGATGCAGTGAAGAAAGACAGGAAAGCAGGGAGAGAGAGAGGGGGGTTGGTTTCACGGACTTCAGGTGGAGACCTCAATGCACTGTAAGGAGTTTTTTATGTCTTGGCATCAATGCCACCTATCACCTCCTGTGGCCAGCTTATTATTCCATCAATACATATGCCCTATCAGCATATGATCTTATTCCTGCTGTTCAGTTTGCTTTTCAGAACCTTTTTTACCTTCTAGAGGTACTTGGCTATGGCAGGCCTTCACTTCACCTCAGTTCCCACTGGCCTGTGGGATAAGAAGGTACTTGCAGCTGCACTTTTTATCTGATATTCTATCTTCTAGCAAGTTTGGATCACCTTCCCTCTCTTTGCAGCTATTCGCCTACACGTTCCCAGTCTGAATGACATCTTGATATCCTCGCTAATGATCCTGGTGATGTAATGTTCCCTCACTGATGGGATTTTGCCAGTGAGCCGGGGACTCCTGCTCTTGGTTGAGTGGCTACTTGAGGTTGGGCACAATCTTTTTCCTCTGATAAAGATTAGATCCTTCTGTCCCTGTAGGCAGCTGGGTATCAACTAGTTCAATTCTGCTGGTCTCTTTTACTACAGTTGGTTCATTATGTCCATATTGCTCACTACTGTTTCCACTGTGCAATAGCCTCTTAAACTCCAGCTTCATCTTTTATTGATGTCATTGCAGTGAGCTGCCAGGTGCTTCTTGGGCAGTGTGGATGTTGGCTTTTGTGTTCATCCATAGTTCCCACATGTGTTAAAGATAACTGATCTCTTACTGCATTGGCTGGAATAGTAGCATCCATCAATTCTGTGTTGTCAGTCCTTGTCCATGTATAAGGCATACATGGACAAGTAGTAGTTCCAGTAGTCCACTTATCATCAGTATATCTGGGCATATATACAGATGTATAGTATTGCACTATTGCAAAAAATTCACATTCATTCACTCAGCTTAAATGGCTGAGAGTAGTACAACATGCTAATATAAACTGGGAGTTGGTGCAGACTATTGACTGATTAGCAAAGTCTGATAAAAAGTTAAAAAAACAGGGACACTGCAGGTTCATATACTAACAACTGCTCAGTCATTGAAGTCATGTCCAGAAGCATACCCTGCTTTGCTGTCTGTTTGGTCTCTAACGAAATTTTTTAGCCTGGATTACAGAATCCCAACTCTGTGTACAGATATGAATCACACAGCATCAGTCATAAAATCACAGGATTAGAGAGAAGGTTCATAAGACAAAGAGGCATTTGAGAACCCACACACTTTTGCTTAGAGAGTTACAATTCACAGCAAAAAAAAAGACACACCTTAATGTGTTTATGTTAATTGCTATAATTCTACTCTACCTGGTTTATTTTATCAGCAAAATGTGGAGATCTGCTCTTCAGAAGTGTTACCAGGTCTTCATAAGCATCACTTGTTCGCTCATATCCATTCTCCTCCCCCTCCTGTTTTATGCCCTGTGAAAACAAAGTTAATTAACTTTTTTTCTATTCCAAAAACCACAATTTATTGTGGCTCACATGTCAGCTGTTGTTAGTTAAAGTTACAGTTGAGCTGAGGTTAGAACATATCTGAAAGCTTGTGTGAAAATGAAATGATTATGTTTTAAGTCATATTTACATAGAAATATAAAAGATCACAATGTGGACCACACTGCCTTTCTACGGAAGAGGATTAGGACCACTGGAAAAAAAATCTGAGAAAAAAGTTAGAATTCTGACTTTTTTCTCAGAATTCAGGAAAAGAAGAAAAAAAAAGACGTGCCCACTTTTTTTTTCCAGTGGCCCTAATCCTCTTCCGTACCTTTCACTTCTAGTCTTACCCCATTGAGAAAACTCCCAGCAGTGCTACAGGTAATGTAGAGGGTTTCAGTGTCACAGGGCTCAATCACAAGGTAGCAAATGTCACCCTGCACCTGTCTCCACAGGGGGGCACGATAGCCATTTGAAAATTGAAAGTCTGAAAACAAAAACAAGAAAGCCAACTTAATAACCTTGGAAATGGTTAAAGGTACAGTCCGTTGATTTTCGAGTTTATTTCACAGAAAAAAAGAATTCAGCTTCAAGCCTCATCTCCTGAACTCAAGTTAGGGTTCTAACCAGGGTTCATACGCATTTTTGAGCATCAAATTCAAGCACTTTCAAGGTCCATTTTCAAGCTTTTCCAGCACATTACCAAAAAAAAAGAATGCCTGTTTCACTTTGCATCACCTCAGTAAGACCATGTAAAAATTAAAACAAACCATCTTAGGTCGACTTAAATGTACTTTGTGCCTCTTGTTAAAACAGAGAAAAATGCACCACACAAAAATACTGAAAAAGGAAATGGTTGCCTTATATGCATATAGTGCACAAACTCAAACACATTTCTCTTAAAAATTAAGATATGCAAATGTGAACAAATGAACTTGTTAGAGATATTCATCTCCACTTGAAAAAAACAACAACCCCACAAAACAAGAAAACTGCACCAAACACCACAATAATACACAGCAAGGCCAAATTAATAAGTCTCTTATCAGGTATTGATGCTTCTTTCCTATGTGACACAAAAATAGGAGACAGATGTTTGTTTTTTTTAAGCACCCATGCCCAGAAAAATGGGGGCAAAAGGGAGGAGATCGCGTTTAATCGGTTATAACAAGAGGTCAGAAATATAAGTGCCGACGTGAGTAGTGTCCATAGAAACCTCCGAATCTCAGCCAGAAAATCATGTAAACCATTTCAACAACAACCAAACAAAGCGAAGATACCAAACAGTTAAAAGAGCAGCTATGTCACCATGAATCTGTGGACAGGTAATATCCATATTTTGATTTATGATTTTCTGGAGTTAAAGGTGTTATATGCTATAAAATACTTTTAAATAAATTAGGTGAAGGGACTTTAAGAATGCACAAGCATCTACCTAAAATCTATTTATTTAGTCTATCATCTGTGATATAATTATGCAAAATTATAATGTGTTGTTCATCTCCCTTAAACAAACAGGCAGCCTTAAAGTATGAAATATTAATATATTAAAACACTTAAATTTCTCTGCTGTCTTGCTCATAGAGGGGCTGTCTGATTGTTGAGGTTTTCTCTGTATTATTTTAGGTGCTTAGCTTACAAAATAAAGGTGATGGTTGTGATTTGGCACTATATAAATTGTTTTGAATTAAAGTAAAAATATAGTGTGTAACAATTTTCTTTTTACGCAAACAGTAGTTGAACCACACCAGCTGGTGCAGCCAGTCTAAATTTCATGTTTTTGATGTTTTCTACAGTAGCTAATCTACTGACATCTAACAGTGCAGCATGATATCATTGGTTATGATGTCTATAGTTATACTTGCAATATAAATCGGATTTGAATGGGGTTTTTTTTGTTTGTTTGCTTTTTCTGTAGAATAGAATAAAATGTGTCATTATGTGTGCATGCTGCTAAATGCAATGCAATGAAGCAAAATACCTGAGCTGAAAAATGACTTTGTAAACTGGAATCTGTCTCTCATGTCTTTGAGAGCAGCAGAACACAGCTTTTATGCAGCATTAGAGTTAACAGTGACTGCTTTCCTCGTATTCCAGTAAAATGTGGAACTGATTCAAACCTGATGTGTATCGCAGCGACTTCAACAGCCCTTTATCCCCTCCACCGCAGAACATTTGAAGGATTTCCACTTCATTCTTCACTGCTTTGGGGTTCAGCCTTACTTGTCTTTTGTGAATATTAAGGAAAACAAAACAATAATTCATTAGTAGTTACTTTTTTCAATATGCTTCCTAGTCCAATCAGATAGGCTGTTTCAAATGTGCTTGAACATGTCTAAATGGAAATATTGTGGAGCACTCACTCTGATATGTCTTTAAGAAGCTTGTCAAGGATCTGTTTGTCCATGTCTTGGAACAACTGAAACAGTTTGACCTTGACCTCCAAGTCCTTAGATAAGCCTTCCTCCTTCGTCCTGTCTACCACACTTACTGCATCGTCATGGGCTTCTATCGCCAGGTCAGAGGAAAAGCTCCTACCAAGAATCTTAACCAGGGGCTCTTTGTTTTCTGAACAACAAAAGAGGGGAGGTTTAGCGATTCAAATTCAAATGCTATGAGTTGGATTCATTCTGAACTATAAAAACAGCTGGCTTTGACTGTACTTTGTTTCTTTTCAAAACTAAGCTAATATTATCTCTCCATAACAAATCCACTGGCAGTATGAAATAAGTATTACTATATTCATCATGTGTCCATCTGTTAAAGAAATATATATTAGTTCAGAGAAAGAATTACCAATGGTGGCATAATTGGATGGCTGTACACAGTAACAAGGAGGACAAACACATTAAGTCTGTGGGTTATGGAGAATGCTGGTGGTTGGACTGCTTAGGATGCAAATTGGACTCAAATTTACCTTCTAGACATGCCCGAACCTCCACCAACTTCTTATCATCTGCCAGATGAAGCAGTTTAGAGAGCTGGCTGAAGCTGCGTACATAAACAGTCGGTGGAGAGAGCTGCAGGAGTGGATGGCCCTCACTATCTCTTTCGTGGGACTGAACATCTGAGTCACTGAGTAGGAAATAAAACAAAAAAGAAACTTTAATTGCCTGAAATGCTTAATGGAGATCTGAGTCTTTGTTTTTGTACTTCTGATGAAATACAGTGGAACGTTCTCAATCTTACTGAAGCTGAAAAACAAATTAATTACAGTCCACATGCAGCTTTGAGTATGTCTAAGGTAAAAACATTTGGAGACCATGGTGACAGCAAATCCTGCACAGACACATAATACTGAGAGCCAGCCAGCTGCCCACTTCATGATTAGACCAACCTGATGTCGTAGTCTGTTTTGAAATCAGACGGCACTAAAGTGGTACTCCACTGGAGTGGCTCCTCAAACACATGTTCAGCTTCCTGTGGGTGTTGGGAACTAAAGTGCTCCACAAAGTGCAGGATTTCTTTCAACAAGGACTCATTCATTGGTGTGGATGCCAGCTTTGCAGTACTGGAGCTGACCATGGTCCATTGGGCAGCCCTGGTCAATGATATCCCCATCGCTGTGTCTGGGATACTCTAAAACTTAACATTAACAAAGGAACCATTTAAAACAGCCTTTTAAGTCTTGGTTTGCTTGTTGGATATGACAGGAAATAAATAAATATTTCTGGATGGATTCATGGATAATTTAAAAAAAAGAAGACAGATGCTTGCACTGGTATCATGATGGCCATAGTGGGTCATTCAAATAAATGGCATGTACTATATACACTATATAATCCCCTCCTCCTCCCATCATTATTATAGCTAAATAAAATCTAGAGAGCCAGACCTTACGTCTGTGTTAGCTGCAGAACTTTAACAAAAGAAAGACATATCCAACAATCAAAACTCGCTAGAGGACAGCAATGCAAAAATAAACAAGTAATGTATTATAATAACGGCGTTAACGAGACTGTGAAGAGCACCAGCACACTTTCTTGGACAGGAGTGACTACAGTTAAGCGTATTTTTATGCTACAGAGTCCCGTTATTAGAAAAGCCGATGGTCTTCAGCTAATATTAGATAAAACAACTGAAACCACACCGAGGTATTCCTCATTAATTCACCATGAAGCAAGTCTCTTCCGCTGTCTGTCATGAAGTTATGACTATCTGTTTTTTACCTGTATTAGTACAAACTTACCGTGTATTTTAACTTGCTTTACAACACCTTTACTAGTAGCTAGTCAACCACAGTGTCCATAGAAACAAGACCACTATCGGCTCTAGTAAGTGCCCCTCCCACTTTTGTTGCCATGACACTGGTAAACGAAACGGCAAGCGAGTTAAGTCAAAATTCACAAAACCAATTGTTTCAGTTGACACATGACGATAGAAAACGACTTTTTATATAGAGAAGAAGAAGAAGAAGAAGAAAGGTGGTGTCAAGTGTTGTTGTTGTCACTTACTGAAGTTGGCAATCTTTTCAGCTGCTGGTGAACATGTTAGGAGCCTACAAGTCATGTCCTGCGACCCAATCACTTACTGTATTCAAATTCAAATTTTATTTGTCACATACACAGTCATACACAGCACGATATGCAGTGAAATGCTTAGACAACTGCTCGTGACCTAAAATAAAAGACTATGAATAGGATAGGAAATAAATATAAAAATTTAAAAAAAAAAGAAAGTTAAAAATAAAATAACTGTACAACAAAATACACAATATAGAAAATATATAAGAATATATGAAGAAATATAGAACAATAAGAGCAGCTGTACAAGTAATAAATGGTAATGAAAGAAATGTAATGTCCAGGGTTGTGCAATCCACATATTTAAGTGTCTTGTGCAGTGCAAAAATGCTTAAAAGTGATTTATTTAAGTGACGTGTGACTAAGTGAGTGATTTGATTAGATGACCACGCAGTGTAGTTGTGAAGTGCCCACTAGTGTAAACAAATGTCCGGAATGTCCAGTGTGTGTGTAAGAACCATATGTGTGGGTCAGTATTATGTGGTGATGTGATTGAGAGACCGTATCGCCTGCGGGAAGAAGCTCCTCCTCAGTCTCTCTGTGTTGGTCTTCAGGGAGCGGAATCGCTTTCCTGACCTCAGCAGAGAGAACAGTCTGTTGTTGGGATGGCTGAGGTCCTTCACGATCTTCCTGGCCTTGGTCCAGCACCGTCTGCTGTAGATTGAGTGCAGGTCAGGGAGCTCGGAGCGGATGGTGCGCTCAGCTGATCGCACAACCCTCTGTAGAGCTCGTCGTCTGTCCTGCATGGTGATGTTCCTGAACCAGGTTGAGATGTTTCCCGTCAGGATGCTCTCTATGGTGCACGAGTAAAAGTTCCTGAGCACCTTGGAGGGCAGTTGGAAGTCTCTCAAGCGTCTGAGGTGGTAGAGACGCTGTCGGGCCTTTTTCACCATGGTGTTGATGTGACAGGACCATGACAGGTCCTGCGTGATGTGAACTCCGAGGTATTTGAAGCTGTCCACTCTCTCCACTGGGCACTCGTTGATGACAGGGGTCTGGTAGTTCCTCTCCTGCTTAGTGCTGAAGTCCACTATCAGCTCCTTTGTCTTACTGACGTTTAGAAGGAGGTTGTTCCTCTGGCACCAGTTCTCCTGTACTGTACTACTTTGTTATTTAATGATCACAGAAGTGTAGTAAACTTTTCACGGATAATATTTGTGTTTAGTAAGTCACATAAACCAGTAAAATAAAAAGCTATGAAATGTTCAGGATTTAGCCTGTGGAAGGTTAGTGTGTAACAAATGAGATAATTATAAAAATCACTCTGTGTGATAGTTTGCATGTGAGAGGTGTATGAAAACACAGCTGCTGGGTGATCTTATGTGTGTTGGGAAATAATTTATAATTGTGATTTTTTCATGAAGTTATGGCTATTGCCATAACTTGGCAATAGCCATAACTATGGCTATGCCACGTGTGTCTCTTAGATACAGTGAGTACCAAAATGCCACTGAAAATTTGTCACACTTTCTCAAGGATGATACAGTTTGATAACCTCGAGTCAAGACCTGCAATATGTGTGATGACAAACTAGCTGCCTTAAACTAGCCCACTGAATGAACAATGGGCTTTGAGGTCGGTTCCATAATCATTAATAATCAAGGAACTGACCTCACAGCCCATTGTTCTTTCAGTGGTGCTAGTTTCAGTCATTGTTCAAAGGTACTGTTTATAAGGTTGTGAAAATCCTGCAGTCAGCTGAGACTCAAAGTCGTCACTTAGAGGAGTGACAAAATGTTCCTCCCACTGAAGACGCTACGTCCAGATGAACAGAACTTTTGGGGATTTACTTACTTGGATGACTGAACATGCATCAAGACATAGCTCCCATAACAGAGGTGTGGGACAAGTGGGTAAAGGTTCTTCAGATTTTAGATTTTTAGTGAGTTTGGGTCATTTTTGACCCTAGGCGTGTACAGGACATGAGGACAACAGGAGGGCTAGAGTGTCTTCCTTAAAAGATGCAAAGCAACTTGTGGTATTAACAATTTAAGAGAAAATTTGGTCAAATACACTTACTTAGCACCTCCTAAACCCATCACTGTGCAAGCTTTAGACAGCCTGGAGGTGCTGTTGCCAGTACCCAGTACATCTCCGCATATTAAAAATGAGCCACTGACCTTGATTGCTTTTGGGGGGGAAAAACGTATTTGCCCATTCATTCACTTGTGCGTATAGCCTTGGGAGTGTGGAGGGTTAGTGCCACATTACTGTATGTGAAAGCAGCCATTTTGTGTCCCCCTTTACTCTAGTATCCTAATTATGAAGCAGGAATGAGTGAAAGACATCAGCAGCAATGTGTGGACAAACTGAGTAAGTGGCTTCTCCTCCTCTTCCCCCACCTAGCACTTCTCTGCCCAACACCATTAACTCTCCTTTGCTCTGCTCTACTCTCAAAGTGAGCACCATGGAAGGTGTTTGGGTTAAGTCAACCTGATTTTGATCAGTACAGGATTTCTTTTGAACATCAAGCGGAGGGCGGCTAAATCCTCTTCTTAGGAGCCCCCCTTTCACCACCTCCACCTGTTCATTACCTTTATTCACAAAATATGCAACATTTTATTAAAGAGAAGTAGGGATTGTGCTGGTAAACATAAAGTTGTGTTCACTCTTTGCTTGGCTAACAACATATATGAATTAATTTGGGGACATTGCAATTACAAGTTTAGTCGTATTTTCTTTAATAAAAATGCAGCAGTTATCAAGAATAATGTAAATTCATACAATGTGCCACTTAAAGAGTATATCATTACAGGGAGACATTAAAAAGGTATTTTCTGGAGACTGTACAAATGTGACTTTGATCTGTAAGATGGGCAGCAGGGGGGTGGGGAGGTAGAAAAACTGAATAAACAAAAAGACAAAAAAATGTTGGGACAAAGTATGGCAGACAAGAGTGTTAAAGACTTTTAAATCATATTACATCAGAGCAGTATAACCAATCATGCTTACACTTAAAAAAAAGGACACAAATCAAGTTTGTATATGTCACAGTTGGTGGAAAGGGAGAAATAAATGATGCACAATTTGGAAACATACAACCTGAGCTGGACATTCAGCAGAGTAAGAGAGTATTCTTAGAGTAAAGAAAAAAAAGAATAAATATAGAGTTTAAGGAATCATTTAGACAGTTTGGATAATATGCTTAATGCTTTTTTTTACTGAGACTTTGGAAGACTGATAGCACTCTTAGAGTTTTAAATGCAGCTAGAGATTGGAGGCAATCAGCCGAGCAAGCACAGAAATTAAGAGATGAATTCAATATGAACTAACTGTTATTAATAGGGATGAACAATGTACTAAAATCACAAGTTCAGAAAGACTAGCAGACATAGGCTAGCTCCTCCTAATTGTTTCCAGTCTCCAACTATCCTTGCGCTCTACCTCCATGTATAAAGGACAACTTATCCATTGGCTTGTATTTTGTCATATACTAAGCAGATATTAAACACTGCTAAATATGCAAAATATGCAAAAGGTCATCTCTGGGAGGCAGTGCATACGAGCACTAGTTTCTGTTTGCACAGGCTAGGTGAGGGGCAACCAATCAAAGAAAGTATACTTTTAAGGAGCAGGAAGTTAAAAAACAAAACAAAACAAAACAACAGCCCAAAGCATAAATAAATAAAATATGGATTGTTTTTGTGTGAATTCTGGTGAATAAAAATGTAGCTGGAATTATAGTCTCCCCTTAATTTAAAGGAGGTCAGCTTGTCCCAGAATCAACAAGAGAGCAAAATCTGGAGCTAGGAGAATTGTAGCAGTGCTGATAATAGAGCCAAATAAAGCCAAGTAGAGCTGACAGAGCCAAAAAACTAAACTAGGGTGACGAACAAAAAAATGCTAGATTGAGAGAAAAAAATGCTTCTAGTAAAAAGAGGCTGTCACAGAGATGGCTACAGCTAAGATCATATTAAAGTCATAAATGTATATAAAATGCATAAAAAGGACTACAAGCAGATATTAGAAAATATATTAATTTCTTTTAAATAAAATTACACTTATTGCCCTTTCTCAAAAGTGTACCTGACAGTGTTTTGCTTGGAATAACAGTCATGGAAGATTTTAGATGTACAAAAGTCTAGTAAGACAGAAGGCAAGTATGTTTTCCTTTCTCCTCTTTCCCTGGTGCTGTGCTCTTTTACAGACAAACACATGTAAGTTGTCCACGAAGAAGAAATACATCAATCCCTTTGGTTTCTAATGGTCTAATGTTATAAAACCACTAAAGGAGTCCTGTTTGGCCGGTTTACTGATGTGCTGGCAGGACTGCTGGTGCTACGATGCTCCAAGCTCGCTCCACGTTCCGGTTTGGACCAAGGCGCTCCAAGTTGTGGCCATGGATGTGTGACCCAGACTGAGACCCTGATCAATGTCAAAGTCTTAGATTCTGGAAAGAAGCCTGCAGCCACAACCTGATCACATCTGGTCAGACCTGGAGCTTCCAGACCACAGCTGAGGTCTAAATCCAACCTGATCCCAGGCAGAAGCTTATTTTTAGCTCGATGCAGTTCAGGTATGGCGACACAGCAGCCAGGCACTGTTTTATTCCTGATTTACTTCCCAACACCGTCCCTGGCAAATATTTTTTTAAAAAGATAGAAAACCTGCATATTTTTGTCAAAGCGCTTCCCTTTTCTCCTTTTACAGTCAGTATGTCTCTCAGGAGTGAGTCCAGCTGACTGGAATCCAGTGTGTCTCTGTCTCCACTTTCTTTAGTGCCAACTGCAGCTCG